AAACCACTGACTGCTAGATCCACGTACATGTAGTTTCCAGTCTCATAAGTGTTGCTTCGCGAATTTTGCTAATTTTATTAATTTCAGGGGGGTAAATCCACAGATACGGGTGATGCTGGCGGCTGGCGCGCCCTTGGACGTGTTATCCCATCGATGCCAGAAAACGAACACGCTCCGGATTCGACATCTGCTGCGGTGAGTTGCGGACTCAACGCCGGCGGTAACTCGATGAAAGAGTCTCCCAGTTCGACGGAGTCAAATAAAGGTGTCTTTCCGGCATTCTGTTCTTTTTGTCGCAAGTCGTACCGGACGACGAAAAAGCTATACATGCACTGCTTGGAGGCGCATAACCAGGACAAGAATTGGAGCGAGAGCGTCAAACCGCATCAAGCGCCTCCGGACGTGACGGTGACCAGCGACAGTGGTGCACCGGCGGTCTCCAGGGCAGAGCAGACATACGATGGGACGATCGTCTGCTGCGAGAAATGCAGCAAGCACTTTTCCAGCACGTACTTCTTGAACATCCATCAGGCGACCAGACACTCCGTTACGGAAGAATCCGGAGCCACCGACCGACCGGTTGGCCAGAATTTGTCGAACCACTGTTCACGGTCGAAACGCGAGCCGGACAAAATGAATAGCTTTCAAGCGAAGAGCTTCGCGAACGCCAACACTAGCTATGCTTCTCCTTTCGGGGACACCGGCACCCGTACGACGGCGTCGAATGCACACGCGCACGGTGGCTCGTTGCCGTTTTTCTCTCCGTCCTCTTTCTCGAACGTGTACGCCCAGCTGATGGTGCCGTCTTCTTTACCGCTCATTCCAGACCTTAGCTGCTCTGTCTGTCGCCAGCTGATGCTCATCTTCCAAAGCCACTTCATGATGAACCATAGCAATATGTTGCTCAATCCGTACAACGTCTATTCGAACACGTCTGACTTGGGAGGTCGGTTCGCTGCGTCTTCGAGCAGCGACCAGAACCAAGCCGCCGCCGCTGCCGCCGCCGCCGCCGCATCGTGGCTGAGTTCTGTAGGCAGCGATCTGTCGTCTTATCCTGACGTTGCTGGCGGCACCCTCCCGGCTGCTGTAAACAATTGCAGAATTCCCTCTGCGCACACGCCGCTCGTGGAGACGTGCCACGGGCAGGAGACGGCAGCCC